TTATGTGATATAAAGGACTCGGATAGCTGTGGATACTGCTGTTCCTGCAATAAATGGGCTCCCTAACATAAAGCACCAGGGTTCCCTAGGCCTGATCCTCCCCTGCCTGCCTGATCTTGCCGTACATCTGGTGAACCAGCGCAGATAAGGAAACAGTTCTTTGCCTTGAGTGGGCAAATCACCCCCCTGTAGTCCTGCTCTCCATTACTGTGTCCGTGCTGATGCCTGCTCTTGTTTCTGAAGGACAAGACGCTGAAGGGAACGGTGTATCGGATCCGAGGCTCCCTTCCTGCTAGTAACTACATCCAGCTCCCAAAGACCAGCACACAGTCGCTGGGCCTTGTTGGGCGCTACCTCTACCTGCTGTTCAGGCCTATGCCGAACAAATACTTCGTTGTGCATCTGGATGTCTCCACAGAGGTGTGTGATACGCTGGGCGCTACTGTAACTGGCACTGTCACTTATTAAAGGTCTGAGGGCAGTGTGTGCAGAACTCAGAGTTTCGGGCATGGGACTGTTTTGCTCTAAGGTAGATGTCTGCAAGGAGTCTTTGCTGCTGATGTTCCCCAGCATGCTGTAGTAGGCATTGGAATAGAGTAAAAGGAGAAGGTGACATCCTTCCCTGAGCCTGGTTATCCAGAGAGCTCCAGGAGTTTCTCAAAGTACTTCCAGGGAAAGCTGATCGTTGTGGTCAGTGACAGTTGCCCTGGGCCTGAGATGATTTCTGTTCTTGTGCCATCTCTGGACTCAGGCTTTTCTTTTCTTAGGCTCTCTTTACTCAGGACTGCATCGAATGGGACAAGAGGCTGCTGCTAAATTGCCTAGGCCTGGGGTAGTGCAAATGTTCTCTGCAGCATTTGCTTGCTTAAGCCACCAGGGTGACTAAAACACCGTGTGTATCTTTGTCCTCAGGATAACCAGGTGGTCCGCATCTCTTTCTCCAACCTATTTAAGGAGTTCAAATCCACAGCCACATGGCTTCAGTTCCCCTTCATCTGTGGAGCGTCCAAAGGGTCAGTTTATGAGAGCACAGCCAAGACTCCCAAGCAAGGTAAAGAATACTGCATGTGGATGGTGGCATTGCTCCTGTCACAGCAGAGATTGGGCTGGAATATCATGGCCAAAAGAAATTACTAGAAAATAAGCTGTATTCAAAAAGGGAGTAGATGGATGCGAGGAGGAGGAGGAGTGCATGGCTGTGAACAAAGCAGTGTGGATGCGTTTTCTTGATCCAGAAGATCCCTAACAGCCAATAGCTGGAAGCTAGTGCTATGGGGAAGGACTGTTTATGCATTCCTTGTTCTTAATTTCTCCCTAAGTGATGGGGGATGTAATGTCAGGGTAGGTGTGAGTCCGGCCTAAGGCAGCAGGGCTTGTTCTCTGTTCTTTCCAGACCTGTGTGTTGTGATAGTAGCCTATGAGGTGTGTTTTCCAATCTCGGGTGCTCTCTTCTAAGGTACTATTGACAAGTCAAGCCTGGTGGAAGTCATGTTAAATACTTTTCACTTTAGTTTTAAAGTGCTTTAGGGTTTCTTCCTTTGCATATACTGCAAAAGAACCTGGGGGGACCTCGTTCATTCATGGTCCAAGGGTAAAAGGTAAAGTGCATTAAGTAATTAATATTTCCTGCAGTTATATCAGCCAGGCTAAAACTAACTTGTGGTGTCAGTTCAGGGTGCTGCATCAGATGATTGCCAGTTGTCTGCAGGAAGAGATGCCATCGTACATAACGGGGCATGTTCTGTTGTGTTCATCTTCTGGCGTGAGCATTCAGTGCAGGCTGCTGCTCCATGACTACAGTGGAGTAGCATTTATTGTCATAAGGAGACAGTTCACCTGGACCGCTGAGTTGGGCGTATTGCAGGCAGATGTTAAATTTTGCATTCTGAGGCCTGTGTCTGAGGGCTGAGGTTCACAGATTATTACATGAGAATATGCATACAACCACAAGTCAGCCTGTGCTTGCTAGTATTGCCAGAAACGTGCCCCAGAGCAGAATGGTGTCTTGGATGTATGCACTAAGAGACCCTCCCGACCATGTGCATGCTGTTAACCTTATGCCTCCCATCCTGTAAGGAACTAAGGTTGTAGTGTCTTCTGACATTCCCTTACTACTCCGTGCTGGTTTTGCAACAAACCATTTTGATGCCCAGATCTAGTGGGAGCAGCTCCTGCCAACGTGCGCTGGACCTGTCTGATGCTTGATCTCCAGTACATCCTCTCCATGTACCTCAACCGACGTTACAGCCATCTGAAGAGTGTCAAGCTCTGCTCCAACCTCCTTGTGAAAAATCTCTGCACAAGTGACTTGCTCTTTGACCCAGGTAAGGAGCTGAGAGCTTGAGGTGGCATGTGATTTCTTGTGTGATGTAAACCAAATCTAGTGAATAAATATGGCCCTCCTCTCTAAGATATAAGTGTTGTTTCTTGTTTTTCATCTGGGGAAATGGAAGATAGGAGAAGAGTTAAATATCTTGCCAATTAGATTGTTGCAGGAAAATAAAAAGATCTAACCACACTTCACTTTTCACAGGGTTGTACTTTTATCTCACAGAGGAGCCTTTTTTAATTTCTTTTTTTTTTTGTCACTGAAATCCAGAAATCTTCCAGTATACTTTATGTTTTTAATCCACCTACTCAGTGCAGCAGATATACTCCAATCAAAGCCTTTGTTTCTGACTTATTAAAAAAAAAAACTCTCTGGAAATCTGCTACAACCAACTGGCCCACTTGAAAGCGTCAGTGAGGAATTTATAGATGCTATTTACCATGAAAGAAGTCCCCCAAACTTGGAGGGATTAAAATAAATACAGATAAAGATGAAATCTTGAAGACTCATCATTTTAATGAAGTTGCAAATGCATCAGGGAAACAGAGGCCTAACGCAGATCATGTGGAAATACAGAAAATAATACCAAACTAGACTAAGTCAGTCTTTTATAATGGGGAATTTATATTTTAATACCAGAGGTTTAAGCTCTTGCTCGTTCTTTTGAACGTGAAAGTTCCAGGAGTATTTGTGTGCAAAGGTATATTCATTTGTTACGGGCATCAGGATACATCAGTTTAATCCAGCTCTCCCAGAGACTTGAAGAACATAATTTTGTCTTGTGTGTTACTAGGTGTGACCTTCTCTGAAGCTCGACAAAATAACCTGGCCTGTCATGGTGTGTCTCCCATGCCACGAGAAATGGCATTCCCTGTGCCAAAGGGAGAGAAATGGCACGACCGCTATGACTATATCAGGTACACTTGCTAAACACTACTCTTGACATCCCTAGAACTTTTGGATCTCTCTTTAGGGCTGGTCAACATGCACTGTGGGAAGGCAGCAGAGTTAAAGCCACCTGAGGAGTGCCAGCTTTGATGTGAAGCAGGATCCTAGTTAAATCATTCCATTTGCCTCAGCTCTAGTGCTAAAATGTTGCAAGCACCTCTGTGGTTCGTGCTTAGTTGTTGATTGCTGGTACCTTGGGGCAGGCAAAAGGCCTCAAGAGTTCCCAGTTGCAGAACACTGCCTGAGCCCCAGGCCAGTGAGGTGGTAGAGTTAACCTCGGTTCTTTCTCTCAACAGAAGGGTGTTGGGATGGGCCCTCTTTGCAGAGATTGCTTCTGTGCAAAGCTAAATGCAAGCCTTTTTCCTCAGTGGCTATTTCTAGGGAGCACTACAACTTCTTGCTAGTTCTCTGTGTCTTAAAAGTTAGCCTTTACCGTGGCTGCTGAACTGTCATCAGCCTCAATGCCTCATCAGGCAGGCAGAGATAAACGTACCTTCCTGAACAGAAACCCAGCTTTAGTGCTGTGATCCCATCTGTGCTGAGGTTTTTGCCAGCTGACTGTGTTGGCCATAAATTGCAGCTCATCAGAGTCAGCAGCATCGGAGCAGTGCTTAAAACATGTTGTGTAAACGTAACCCCTGCAAACCAAGGCAGTAGATCAGACAAAGGAGATGCTTTAGTATCCTTGTGCCTGGAGGAGAAGGGAATGAAAGAGAGAATTCTACAGGAGTCAGCTATATAAATCTGAAGAGGCTTTTGTGCCAGGAAGGTAGTTACCAAGTAGGATTTCTGGGTTCCTGTGCAAAATCCTAATTAAAAGATGCCTTTCCTCTGATATTTTCTTTTTTTCCCTCCTCTCTCCAGGTTTCCATCTGATGGGTCCAAGCTGCCATATGACTCAATCCAAAAGAGCTGTTCCAGTCCTGCAGCAGGTAGGAAAGCTGAGGGCAGTGAGCTGAGGCTGGGTCAGCCCCTTGGTGTAAGCTCAAGTAGTGGCCACTGCTTCCTGAGCTCCATCTGAGGAATTGTTCAACTCCTGTGTGTTGTCCAGAGCCCTTTCCATTACCCATTTGACTTACTGCTCTGGAAGAGCTTAAATCCCAGAGGTTTAAAAACACTTGAGAGAGGCCCTGCATTTTGCAGAAGATAGATTTTCTCACGAGGAGCTGGCTAAATTACCTGTGTTTGTCTCTTAGAAGTGCTGGGAAGCTTTAAAAGGTGATCAGAGCAAAGACCTTTCTTGGCTAGTGAATTTTGATGATCTTTTTAAGGAAGCTGCATTATGGTTTCCTCCTATAAAATCGATACTGAGCAGGCAGCTCTTAATGAGTCTCCTGTACTTGGAGTCCACACCCACCTCCTTCCTGACCTAGGACAGCAAATCTACAGGCCCTTTTTTGTTTCAGAACAGTTGTAACATGTAGTTTCAGCTAGTGCCTAATCAGGGGACTAGGATGGATGTTTTTGTTGCAGTTCACTCCCACATCTTTCTAGATTCCAAAAGCAGTTGCCTGTTTCCTGCTTCCTACCACTCTGGAGTTTTTCCACGTGCACTTGACCTGCAGATAAAAAGGAACAAAACAAAACAAAACAAACCATGGAGAGTATTATTTACAGCAGGTGTACCAAGTGTAGAAGTTGGTCTTTGTCCTTTTGTTATAGAATAGCCTGTTTTTTTTCATTTGCATCTAGATCTTTCTTAAAGGAGGAGTAAGAAGTTGAATGAAACGGCTGCTATTTACTCCATGCAGGAGCAGGTAGTTAGTGTGTCGGAGGGTTACAGATACCCTCCCTCTCCTCTTGTGATCCAGGTGGCCAAGTTTTGGAAGACGCAGTCCACGAGCTGCCCCAGCTGGTAACGCTCACCAAAGCAGTCCGTGATCGTCTGTCCCTCGTTCAGCAGATAACCAGTCCCAAAGCTGTGAGTATGCCTTGGAGAGAGAGTGCAGCTTCTTCCTTTCTGCCTCATGGAGTTTTTTCACACCTGTCTTGCCTTTTAGATCCTTTATGTAGGATGTATAAGATGCTTTTTGTCATTTACAGTCTTGTTTGGGCATGGTCTGTTGACCACAGCCCCACAGTTAATGTCTTTGTGGTTCAGTCTGGTGTAACGCAGAAAAAAAGACTGGATAAATGCCAATCTCTAGCAAATCTCTTTGTAATCTCTAGTCTACTGTTCTCCCCATCTCAACTGAGGCAGCAAATACTTTTTCTTCAAAATATTTGTATGAGTTTAGTATTAGAGTGAGCATGATGAAGGATGTCTCTAGCATAGCAGGACACACAATCTAGATGACTGGGACTGCAGGCAGGTACCCCAAACCACTGAGTTCTTCTCCTTTGCTGTTACTAGTGACCCAAGTGCTGGTGTCTGGCCCTTTCTTACCAGAAAAATAGTAAAGATGTAGGAGGGCAATAGGCTTTTGTAGAGAAGAACTGGGGAGATCTGTGCTGTTTATGCCTTGGAGTGGGAGAAAAAAATGAATGTAACTATTTGCCATTCTGAATCAAGATAAGCCAAGTGAGCTGGCCATTGGCTTTCAGCTTCTTGTCTGCTCAGTGGAGAGGCTATTAAGAGCTGGGTCTTTGCTAGGGGTGGTTTGTTGTCCAGAGGAATGGAATTGCCTGTGAACAATATTGGGAATACAGGGAGACTGGCTGGTTAACATACCTGACAAAGTTAGCTACTTACAGTGAGGTGACAGTGATGCTCTCCGTACATGTTACTCTGATTTGTATCTGTATGTTTCTCACTTACTTGTATGCTTGGAGTTTTTAATAGTCACTTGGGAATTATGCTGGTATCTCCCTGTCCCTGCCTTTGCAGGCGGGTGTAAGAAGGTGGGAGGGAACTCAGATCTGTCTCTGAGGGTTTGTTCTTTCTCAGATGCCACGTCCGTGTCCTCTAATTACAAAGAGCATTCCTGAGGTTCACCTAACAGCTCCAGGGCCTTTGGAAGTCATGCGTGCTGGGGAGCAGGAGGTAAACAAGAAAGGGAAGCTACAGAGTGCTTGCGACTCTGCTGGGCAGTCACCATCAGTCACAGATGGTGGGATTCACGTGTATGCCCACAAGACGAGTGAACGATCCGCCCGTGCTGTCAACACAAGCTTGGAGGAGGTAGGTGAAACACTGAGGAATCACGGCAACCTGGTTTTACACTTCATACTTGGCACAGCTCTGCATTCTGTCTTGTTGTGACTTTAATCGCAGGATGTTTTTGTCAGGGAGTGGGCCTTGAGCTGAGCTCCCTGGGCTTGGGGCACAAGCCATTTTGATTCTTGTGTGTGGGACTCCTGCCAAGCCAGATCCTCAGCCAGTGTCTGACACTGGTGCAGAGGGGCCGGTTTTCTCCCAGCCACAGCTCTTTCCCATCCTTTTGCTGTGTCTTGTGAGACTGAGTGAGTACACGGATTGCCACTTGGCACCCTTATCATCCCTGCATATGTAGATTCCCTCATGAGGCCCTGCGAATGCTGAGACATGGGGATGTGTAGTCCTGGTTGCTGGGACTGATTTGGGGTGTAGGGAGCATAAGGCTGGCATCTGAGCAGGACATTTGTGTGCTGATGCTTGTGATACTTTTGAGCCCAGTAGAGGAAACAAAAGATTGGATTGGAATTTCAGTTAATGTCAGTCCAGTCCTGATGCTGGCATTACTTTTTTTTGACTGTGAGTTCTTCTTTGCACTAGTATCTTGTATATCTTGAAAGAATGACCATATGTCTTGTTCTGAGATGCATGCACTGACATAAAACCAATAATGTGCGTTTGCTGAATTATTATTATATTTTCCCAGAGTATATACATGAAGGTCACTGGACCAGATGTGCTGTCTAGCAGGAGAGCCTCTCACTGCAGGGTAAGATAACAGATCTTCCCACAGCATCACTCTGCTCTCTAGGAATATTCAGGCATTAGGAAGATCTGTTTGCAGCTCCCTTAGCCTAAGCAGGAGGACTTCTGAAAATAGGATGTCAGAAGATCTCAGCTCCAGTTTTCTTCAAAGTTTAACTTCTGACGGGTCAAATACTTTAAAACTGCCCCCTTATGGGAGAGGATTCAAAGCAGTCCCTGTGTTTCCAGGAGAAATAGAAAAAAACAGGGAACAGAGTGTCCCAGTAGCCCAGAGGAATGGGGTGGAGCTGTGAGTGATCTGGCCATAGTCCTGCAGTAAACCTGCCAATGCTGTCTTTCTTTCAGAGGCTTTTACCAGATCCAATCCTGAAGCTGAAGACGATTATTGGCTTTGGAGGTTGCAGCACCAAATGGGTCAGTAATTGGAAGAGTTTTTGAAGTTTTTCTGTAACCATATTAACAGGATATCGATTTTTTCAGAGGCTCAAATGTGCCAAACTTCCTTGGGAAAAGGGCCTCATAACAGAGGGGCACAAGCTTATGTTTGGGTATGGGTCTTCCACTATTCCAGTGGTGAATCAGGAGCCCTTTTAGATCTCGTATCTTCTGCATTTTAACACATCTCATGCCCCTACAACATGCTTTGCTGGAGTCTAGAAGAGGACTATGGTTTGGGTTGTTTCCATGTGGGGCTTTGCCTTCCAGGATTCCAAACCATGGTGTGATTTGCAGTTAGAATAAAGGAAGTTTTCTGTGGTTCATCCAGTTCAATAACATTATTTTCAATGTATCTGCTGTGCATGTATATGTATAAGATGCAATTTGGATGGTAAATCCATGGAATTCATTTGGATGTCAGCTGAGCTCTTTCTTTTCCTTTGCTAGTTGGAAGCACACTTACATGAGAGCAGTCCTGACATCTGCACATTTGCAGCAGCTCTCCAAGTCTCCCACATGTCTAAGAAAGCTCTGCAGATCTCATCTAGGAACTAAATCCCCTGTGGGATCTCATCCTCCCTCTCATTCTCTCATTTGTCCTGCAGGCACTCTGGACTCACAACAACTCTGCAGTGGTGTACCCCTGCCATGCAGTTATAGTCACCATGCAGATTCAGACTGGAGAGCAGAGGTTTTTCATCGGACATACAGATAAGGTAAGTGCAGGTGTTCTGACAAAGGCTTTTTTCAGTGGTATGCTTGTTAATTCCTGAGAAGTGGATACCTCTCTGCTGCTCCTGCCCAAAGTGCTATAGTAAAGCATCAACTCTGGTCCTGGGGAGGTTGTGACAAGTCCAGACAGACCCTGCATCCAGAGTGGGTGTCAGGAAGAGCTTTGGCTTATCAGCAACAGGACTTAACCACTTTTTCCCAAACACCTCTAACCTGACCTTTCCCCAGGTGTCAGCACTGGCCTTCAACGGAAAGAGCACCTTGCTGGCGTCCGCACAGACAGGCCCCTTGAGCGTGGTCCGCCTCTGGGAATTCCCCAAGGGGAACTGCCTGTCGGTGTTTAAAACCCATGTCCGGTCACTCACGTCCCTGAGGTAGGTTTCAGCCCCGGGACGGTGTGTGAGGGAGGAGGAGATGAGTGCAGGGGTGCATTCAAGAGTATGAAGTGTTGCAGTATGGCAGCTTCTCTGTGCTATGAGTGCATGATAAAGCAGGGCTGATTTATAGTTCTTTAGCTGCTGTTGTGTTTATCACCAAGACCCTGCTGGCAGTTATCCCAGAACAGCTGGTGTGCTGCCAGCTTACTCCCTAACTTATCCCTCAGGACATGCTGTCTCCCCATATCCTCAGCTCATCTTGTTTTATTCCCTGCTGAGATGCACTTGGGCTGTGAGCTACTGCATTTCACCAAGTGTCTTGTTCTTGCAGCTTTTCCCACAGTGGAGCAGTTCTTTGTGGCATTGGAAAGGATGGACATGGCAAAACGGTGAGAGCTTTCTGGAGCTTTTCTTATCTCGCAGCACAAGCGTCACAGGATACCGGTTCTCTTAGATTACACAGTTACTCTGCAGGCACACTGCTGGTGTGGGTTTTCCAAGGTACAGTGACACAGAGATGTTCTTGGGAAAAACTTCTCACTGTAAATAGAGAAGTCTCATTCTCTTTGGCTGGTTAGAAAATACTTTGTCTGATACTTGTGTGCTTGAATGTACTTTCCCCAGCTGGAAGCAAATAAGTTATTTCTAAGGTAGCTTGTGTGGAGACCTGCTCAGATTGAGCTTTGGGCCTATTTTGGTCTTCTGATTTGTGGCAATTATTATTTATGGCAGTTAACCAGTTTATGGTTAAGGCAGTTGAGTGATTCTCCATGTATCCTGTGGGGATCACTGTAGGCTAACACACATCATTCCCTGGCCTCTCTGCAGCAGTTCTGGCCCACCTGGTTGAGAGTGACACATGTTTGTGTGTCATTTCAAGCTGGAAGGCTTGAAAGCACATAGTGGAAGAATGGGAATTGAAAAGGGAGATTCGGGACTGGAGCCCAAAACCCTTTTGTAGAGCATTTAGGGCAAGCAAGGCAGATGTGAAGTTAAATCTTTCAGTTTGAGCATTGCAGGCATTGTGTGTTGAAAGGGATGCTGGGGCACTTGAACTACCACCCACTGATGTAGCTAGAGAATGACGCAGATCCTGCATATAATAGTCAAAAATAAAACTGTTTCATGGGACTCAGGGTTTTACTTTATCACTATAGCTGTCTTCATCTAGTAGTCTGTTATGGAGAACTAATTGTATATTAGCCGTGCTATTGCTAACTGCATGCTGCCTGCAGGAAAAAACAAGCAGTCACAGAATTACTCCAGCTTTTTCAGAGCACAAACCAACTGTTTTATGTTCAGGGTAGGGGTTTGAAGAACTGAAACTCTGCCGGGGGAAATACCAACCGGTTGAAAGCAACATTTGGGCTAAGAAACAGAATGTGACAGTGGGAGGTGCTGTGGGATTGCTCAGGCAGATTTCTCCTGACGTGACACCTGTCAGCCCAGACCTGCTGAGGCTGAGCTGAGTTTCCTCACATTTCTTCAGTGTTCTTCCTGTTTCCTTTGGGAATGACGTCTCCAAGACCTTCTCAGTCCCCTTAGTGAAAAGGGGACACAGTTCACACTCTTCTGTGTGCAGTTACTGCATTTTCTTTCCAAATGTGAGCTGTGTTGCCAGGCAGCTCTGGGATTTAGAACCTATAATTATTAATGACAGACAACTATATTGCAATAAAGGTTTGCCAAACTGTTTGGACTGTCCTGGATCCTCCTTGTTAGAGTTTTTTTTTTAACCTTCGTTTAGTTCTATAATCATTCCTGTGTGCACAGCCCTGCAGAACACTCTCCCATACATGCAAATGTTCACTTGCTCTAGTGAAAAACTCTTGCTCGAAAGGTTTCCACATCTTAACAGCTCTGCCATCCCTGTCTTCTTTCTCCAGATGGTCGTGGTGTGGAACACAGCTCAGGTGATCGGTAGCGGAGAGGTAGTTGTGCTGGCCAAAGCACACACAGATGTGGACATCCAGGCTTTGAAGATTGCCTTTTTTGATGATACCAGGTAGTGTGCAAAGGAAGCCTAAGTTAACAGGGCAAGGTCTGGCACTGCTGCGGGGAGGCTCATGACACTGCTGCAGCTGAGGCTGACAGGCACAGGGCACAGCTGGTAGCAGTCCTGTTCTCTGTTCTCACTATCAGCGAGCCTCAGCCTGCTGCCCTTAGAGCATTAGCCTTTTGCCAGGGGCTGAACAAATCCTTCCCCGTTCCTCACTCAGTCTCTTGTGCAACAGGATGGTGTCGTGCGGAAGGGACAACGTGAGGCTGTGGCGAGTGCGGAGCGGAGCACTGCGCTCATGTCCCGTGAATCTGGGCGAGTACCATTCCCTGGAGTTCACCGACCTGGCCTTCGAGGAGGGGCACTCGGCAGAGCGGGAGCCGGAGGACCGCACGCTGTAAGGGGCAGTTGGGGTCTGCGTTTGCCATTGGGAGCTCTACAGCCTCCTCTTGACGAGTGGAGGAGGCCACGTGCAGCCATAGCTTGACATCGTCTTTCTCTGCCTTTCCGGGAGCACAGTATTTTGTCTGGATTTCCCTGCAGAATACAAATGCCTTATAGAGCTGGGAAAGCCTCTACCTTCCCTCAGCATGCTTCTCTTCCCAAAAGAAATTTGGCTGCTTTGCAGAATAGCACAAGAAATGGCTCTTTCCTCGTTCGTGTCCTGCTGATGTCTTGACACTCAAGTACTTAGTGATTCTCTCCCCCTGCCTGAAGCTTATTGGCAGTGGGATGAGATTGGTATAACACTTCCTTTTGGATATAGAAAAGTGCACACTTTGTGTTATTTTAATCATCAAACCAAGGCTATTGTGGCTATCCCATATGGTTCCAAAAAGGCAAAACTGTCAGTTCAAATGACCTCTGCCTTCCTCCATGGGCTATGTCATACAGCAGAGATAATTTTCTTTTTGAAGTCCACACTGAACTTTTAGCTCTTTCTTGGATTAGTGTTTCAAAGGGACAGAAGAAAAATAGGGAACTGTAACTTGAGCCCTTGGTTGTAGATTCCTAGACTAGATCACAGGAAGTCTCCCTTGTACCCCTGTTTAACCTTTTGTGTTACTGTGAATTGGAATTGCTTTTCATCAGGCAGATGGAGTTTATGAAGTTATTCTGTGCCTCATGACTAAAGCTTGCTGAAACATACTGTAAACCCTGGGTTTTACAAAGTAATGTCTGCACAGTCCTCTTATCCTTCAGATGCTGGAGTAGGGATCTTTGTCCTTTCCAGTTTTGTCTGCAGCAAGAGCGGTCACATTCTGGAAGTGGACTACAAGAACGTCTGCATCAGGAGCGCCCGGCGGCTCCTGCCTTCCCAGCCCCAGCACTGTCACCAGCAGGAAAAGCAGGGCTGCAGTGCAGGTAGGGGTGAGGACTGTGTCCTGGCACGAGGAAGCGATCTAGCTCAGGACTGGCTCAAGAATGACCAGGATCAGAAATAAATTTAAGCAATTTTCTGGAAAATAATCCAGCTGTTTAGCTACTGCTAAAGATTATGATGGCATGATTGAATCAATGCTAGCTAACTATTTTCCTCTTAAGTACTGCAGTAATCTTAGTACAGCAAAGTATCATTTTAAGACAGAGTATTGGCATGTTAAATGCTGATTACTCTTTCAAAGAAACACTGCTTTTAGAAACATGAAACAAGGTCTTAATTTGCTGACAGGAATCTTATGTAGAGATGCAGAAAGATCTAAGCAGATCAATGAAAAGATAGATGTTGGGGATTTTTTCATTATTCAACCTGTATGAAGTATTTGGGAATTCTTTCATGCTGTATACTAAGTAGTACAACTTTCAGCTCTTCCATTGATTTTTAAAAGCAGGAAGAATTCACTTTAAAGTGTGACCGCTCTGGTATTTTTAAATTTATTGCATGAACTATTTAATTGAGAACATGCACCTTTGAGAGGTATGTAATTCCAATTCTCTCTCTGTAGTTGATACAATGACTTTTAGAAGATTTAACACAGTCCTTGGGTTTCTCAGTGGCAGCATTGCTTGCTCTATCCAGTGCTTTGTCCAATGAACTTTGTGGCAGAATCAAAAAACCCGTTGCTTTCCCAGTTTCTATAGATTTATAGTTGCTCACACTTATTCCGCTCTCTCTCACTTCTCACTATGCTGCAGAGAAGACTTGAGACATGAAAGGAAACTGTTTTGTACCCTAAACAGCTACCAAAGACATTCCTTGCACAAGATCTTGTTCAAGCCATAAGTGTGACACAGTTTAAAAGGTGATAAGAAATGCATTGCCTGGCAAGAGTAAGTAGAGTTGCACTGATGGTAAACAGTTGTGCTGGAAGCGGGACAGGGGAGCAAATAGGTTTTGAACTCTTAGAAGGAGTAGATAAGATTCTTCCACAGAGGTAACTTGCGCTGTCATTTGCAGTGGGACTTCTTGCATCTTTTTCTAAGATGTTCAGTTGCTGGAGCAGGTGAGCTGTTGAGCTCTGATTTGGATGGGAGAACCCGCGGTTTCAGTTTTCTTCTTTCTGCCAGTGACCTAGTTAGCTTTGTGTTCTGGGTTTTCAGGCCCTGGGATTGCTATAAACAGTATTAGCATCTCCTCAACCTTTTGTGCCACGGGTTCAGAAGACGGTTACCTGCGGCTGTGGCCACTGGACTTCTCTGCTGTCATGTTAGAGGCAGGTGAGTAGATCTGAGAATTGAGCTTCTGAGTCCCATATCTGCATCAGCCTGTTCCTATGAAGCAAAGAATCCCCTGCAGTTCTTCTGAAGCTATTCTCATTTATGAGTGCTTTTTTATGTCTGCTCTAGTCTAGTCTTTGGAAGTTGTCTCTTCAAGGACAATTAATTCATGTTCATTCTTGTGAGTGTGGGGAGAAGGATGGGAACTCCTGGATAAGAACAGGCAGTCCAACTTTATCTCTGTGCTCTTGTATCCAAGATTCTCTATTCACTGCAAAGTTAGAGGAGTTGAGCAGTTCTCTCTCTGAAACATAACAGCAGAGCCCAGGAACTGCTAGAAAGACCATGGATTAAGTTGTCACTAAACTGAACTCTTCAAGCAGTTAATCTTGAGGTCGTTGCATTTCTGTGAACAGTACTTTCCTAACTGTGAATGTGGTTCCATAACTTTGATCCAGATGCTTCTCACTTGTTCCTGAGCTGTGTACTAACTAGTTTGTCTGTCCCCAGAGCACGAGGCTCCAGTGAGTTCTGTCTGCATCAGTCCAGACACCCTCAAAGTTTTGTGCACAACCACCACTGGAAATCTGGGCTACCTAGATATACAGTCCCGAGACTATAACACCCTCATGCGCTCTCACACAGACACAATTTTGGCATTTTCTGTGGAGGGAATTCGGAAGCAGATGGCAACAGTCTCTCAGGATAACACTATCCGAGTCTGGGACCTTGTGACCATGCAGCAGGTAAATGCAGAGAGAGCTGTTAGATATAGATTTATTGATAGTTTGCCTTGTCTTTGTTCAGTTGAGTTATCAAAGAGCCCTTAGCCAAATAGTCTTATCAAAGAGCTATATAAGAGCCCTTAAATGTCTTCCCTGAGGCATGGGGTTTAACATGGGTAAGAAATCCTTCTGAAGCATGGAGTTCTGAGACATCTATTTAAATGTGCAATTTGGCCTTAGCTTTTGAAGGCATAATTAAACAGAATAGTAAAAAAATATGTATTTTTTTCCTCTGTCTCTTGAATGTAGCTGGTTAGCAGAGGACATAATACCCAAAGGATTTATCCAGATCTCCCTGAAGACCCTGGATGTCCCTGGGCTTTAGGGGCAGGATTAGGTTTGCGCTGTGGGAACAGGCTCACTGTGGAGGTCTGAGGTTGTTTTGCTGCACTACGTGTGCCTGCCAGGAGCTGATTTATCCAGCTTCGTGCCTGTGGGTCTGTCTCTTCCCTGCAGCTCTATGACTTCACTGCTGCCGATGAAATGCCGCGTGCTGTGGCCTTTCACCCTACCCAGCAGATCCTTGCCTGTGGCTTCGACAGCGGGGTTGTGCGAACCTTCAGCTTGGCTGCTTCCGATCTCCTCGTGGAACACAAGTAAGTGTTTGCAGGGGCAGTTGCGCCCACGCACAGGGTAAATGCTGTGTGTCCTGGCAGTAGCCACAGTCATAATCTTGGAGCTGGGTCTGTGCTGGAAAGGTAGTTTTCTTAAGCTTGACAATCCTCATGTCCCAGTTAAGCGGTTCTCAAGCCTGGTGTGCTGAGGGTTTGGATGATAAGAATGCAACCTCAGAAAGCTGTAAGAGCTTTATATCTGAGGACTTACTAGTTGAGAAATCCCTAAGGGTAGGTAAAGGGACTGAGGAAACAGGCGGTTGTCCTGGAGATTAATTGAAGAATAAGCCTTTGTGAGCCTTGGCATGGGAAACGGAGGATGCTCCAAAGGGAAAATGAGCACATCCCATCCAGGGACAGCACGGCTGCTGCACTTGTTGCTTAATTTCCAAAAAGCTGCAATATTGTCCTGGACTGCTGCAGGCAAAACACAGTGAGGTTCTTTTCCTGTCTCCAATTAGGTTCATTGCCAGGTGCTTAACTATATTGCACTGGATGTTGCTTCTCTTTATTTTTCTTTCTCTATCTCATCTCTCTTGTTTTCTGCCTTATTTTTTAGGCAGCACCGTGCTGCTATTACTGGTCTGACCTTCTCTCCAGATGGCAATTTCATGTTCAGTTCCTGTTCACAAGGAACTCTGGCTCTCTACAACTCTGTGGTACAGAAAACCCCTGTCCTGAGAGTCCTGGGTAAGGCTATGGAGTTGATGTGGGTTGCCTCTTTTCTTTTTCAATAGCACAGGTATCCTTGCAAAATCAAACCAAAGACAACCTATTCTGGGAGAGAGATTTTCTGAAGGAGCTTCTGAGCTGTGTCAGTTGCATTTATATAGTACACAGTAGCAAATTTTAGTGACTGTTAACCCTTCCATACCAATCCTGATTCAAAAGCTTTCAAATTGCTTGATATTTCAGTCTTGTGAATTGGCTGGAATTGCATGGACCTGCCTTTTTGGATCTGGATTCAAGCATATATTGTTTAGAAGCAATACAGGCATAGAGTGTTTTTACCTAGTCAAGCCCCAACTCCTTGAGTTTTGTGTGTGTGCAGTTTGATTTGTTTAAGTTGGATCACTTCCCTAATCCTGCCTGTAGCACAGCCACAGAGTTGTGCTGATAACCGAAGAAGGTGGAGTGCTGCAGGCAGGGCTGAGCAGTGCCAGGGGGCAAGGTGATTTTGAAATATTAATGTAATGTTTAACGTACACTCTTTGAAATTAGCTGTGGCAGCACAGGGAAGCTTATAGAGAGGAAAGGAGCTCTGTTATGCAATATGTTATACAAAGAGGAAAATCCTGCCCCAGTAAGTGCAAAGTATGGGGAAAACGAATAGCAGCTCAGAGAGATCAGAGAGCTTGTCCAAAATCACCCAAATTTGGTGTCAGTGCTGTGACTGGAACTAAGTGTTCTGATTCCCCTCCAACCTCAGTGTTGATCACTAGCTGGTTTTCCAGGGCATAACAGTGGGAATGGGATAGATACAGAGCAATCACTCTGATTTCTGTGGTTCTGTGACCTTTGGATCTCTGCAGTGACTTCCTTCTGGGTGGGGTTCAGCCACCCATGCGGTAGCTGCAGTTGCATCCATAGCTGCTTGTTCCAGCTTCCTGCAGCCTTTTTTTTTTAAAAAAAAAAAAAAAAGGCAGTAACATGCATTTATTCCCATTACTTCTTTTTTTTTCCTGCCTGCCTTGAACATACTACAAGCCCAGTATCTAGACTTTGTCTTTGAGGTGGTTCCATGCACACTCTGGATGCCTCAGATGAAATTTCTGTCATCTTTCACAACAGAGGTTGTTTCTTTCTCGTGCCAAAACATGATTTAGGTTGTTTTCAGATTGGCTGATTTAGAGGCACAAAAGAAAATGCAGACCATGTCAGCAGCCGCATCACAGAGCGAGCTGGCTGCAGCATGTTCTCTCTGTTCCTCTCTTCACTCTTTTTCTGTTCCTGGGGCCCGCAGGTAACGTGGTGGTCCGGGATGCTGGGAGCAGTCCTGCTGCTTTGGCTCTTAGTGAGGACAGCCGTCTGCTGGCCTTTGTGGGTCCCTCCAAGTCCATCGTGACCGTGATGGAGGCCTGCTCTCTAGATGAGGTACCCACCAGGTTTCTTCATGGCTCCTGTGGAAGGCTGGGGAGGGGGGAACATGCTGTAGGGTGCTGCAGGCCAGGAGAAGAAATTCCTATCTGCTGTATTAAATGGGATAGGTCAAGAGCTTTGTGTACCATTGATTTTGGAGAAGGCATTTTGGTGCACAGCAGCTGGTTTGGGGTGCTTATAATGAGGTTTGTCTTCCATTCTGTGGGGTAGAAACAGTAAATTCAAGAGTTCTTCTTCTTCAACTTAATTTCCCTCTACAAAGATAATTAGCAGAAAAGCTGCATGGACTGTCAGTTCTGCACCCTCTTTCTGAGCTGCTCTGTTGGGTAAATACTTCACCTCTACCCTGCAGCTTCTCATTAGATGGCTGTCTGAGTGACAAGCTTGGGGCTTCCGTGACTTGTGATGGGGAAGCCATGGGAGAAATCCTCAAGGCTGCCCAATAGCTCTTTTGAGGCGTCCATGGTATTTGTTCTAGGATGTTTGTTCAATAGCTCCTTGTTTCACAGCTGCTAAAGGTGGACATCAGCATCTTTGATTCGGACAGCACGGCCCTGGACTCTGCAGTGAGGCTCTGCTTTGTTCCTGTGCCTCAGGGCCAGCTCCTGGTATCCACGTCCTCCAATAAAATCCTTGTGCTTGATGCAAAAACTGGACGACTGGTGCGAGAGGTAGGATGCTCTGAAAATCATGCACCAATGATTGCCCCATCTTGACTTGTCTCAATGTGGGGGGATGAATGGGAGAAGAGAATATCCTGCAGCTCACAGGCTCTGAACAAAACATAACTGACAAGCAGACAAGCTGTCCTAATGTGGTCATGCTTTAGGTGAGCCTAAACTTGTCCTTGTTTTCCATGCTGTCACACTCCTGTCATTTTGCTGAAGCATCAGGGCACAATAAATTGCTGAAGGCAGTTAAAGCAAACTTTTTGAATCACATGGCAATGGGCTAGGTGTGCATATGGCAATAATTACCCTATCTCACAGGTGGGCTAGTGAAATACCCAAACGAGCCCACCAGAGCACTGGAGATGATCTAACTGTCATGGTGAATCTGTCCAGATCACAATGCGTTCAGTTCACCTGCAATCTTTGCGTGTCTTGTGATGCAAAAGGCTAGAAAAACTACAGACCTTTGTCAGGAATACTGGACATCTCTGGTTCGTGTAGTTTTGAACTACTTTTTCACCAGAGTCTAAAAATATTCCCCTTCATTCTTCATTTAATGAATCTGCCTTTTTTTGATGTTGAGGCAGTGAATAGCTGATTCTTCATTTAATGAATCTGCCTTTTTCGATGCTGAGGCAATGATTAGCTTGCTGACAGTGAGCTTGCTCAGTTAATGCTCATGGTGCTGTGTCTTATCCTCAGCTGCCTCCTGTGCACAAGCTGTCCTGTTCTTCCTTGTCCCTAAGCAGGGATGCCAAGTACCTGCTCACTGCCGGTGACAAGGTTATCAAAGTGTGGGACTACCAGATGCGCTTTGATATCAACTTCCAGGTATGGCACAAACAGGGAGGGAGGAGGGTTGATGTTGCCTTCGTTTGTCAGTTAATGCAATTGGGAATCCCTGGAGGAGAAAGGAGCAAATGCACTTTTGTCTGATTTGGCCCAGTCCCTCAATCCCAATATGTCTCCAATATACCCACCCCTATTCTCACCTGGAACATTCTGGTAATCTCACCCACTGAACACACACTGGGATTGCCAAATCACTGCTCCTAGTGAGAGCCTCTGCCAAGGACCAGCGGCTGATACTACATCTGTTCTCTGAAGAGAGGAAAAAAAAACTGCCTGCCCAGGGTTTCAGAATAGCTGAAAGCTGGGATAAGGCTGTGGGGTTTTTCAACATCTACTTATTTCTCTGGATCAGTATGTTTAGCATCAAACATATCTCTGAACACTGGAGGTGTGGTGCTGAACTCAGAGAAGATCCTCCCGTGAAGTAGTTTAGATAGAAGCTTCCTTCACTGGATGTCCAGCGCAGGGGGTCTTGTAACCACAGTCTTAATGGGACAGAGATGGTCATGGAGTCTGGGAAGTCCAAGACCTCCTCTCTCTCAGGTGTACATTGGCCATTCGGAGCCAGTGCGACACGCTGCCTTCACCCCAGACCAAGAGCACGTTGTCAGCGTTGGAGATGCCATCTTCCTCTGGGACTTCCTAGCCCTGTCTGCAGAAGGGTCACCGGCAGCTGCGTGAGTGCCCTGTGCTGGGCAGTGCTTTCTCCTGCTTCTCTTTACCTCTGATGCACCATCCCCCAGCAGTTTAACTCTGGTCTTGTTGCCTTTCCAGTGCGCATTCTTCCAAGCCTGATCTGTCTCCCAGAGCAGGTGAGTGTGTCTCCTCCCATGAGTTGCATTGCTCAGCATGTTAGCAGCTTTTCCACAACTGCTCTTCGTGGAACAGGGTGTAGTGGTTGGAGATGGGGATTTTTTTTTAGTTCCTTTGGGGAGAAAGGAGATGCTCAGAGGTTTTTCTTTTTTTTTTTTCCCCACAGAAGGGAACTCTGAGAAGCTCAAGGATGCCACTGAGATTCCTCGGCAAACAGCTCCTCTTCCACTGCTGTCCTCACCGCCATGTCTGGCTGTTGGTTCTGTTCACCAAGTGGAATGTCATGGTAAGAGAAACTGCTTGTAGGAAAGGGAGAGTTGATTTAGGGAAATCTCCCTATCACTAGCAGCATGAGCACAGAGCAGCCCTGGAACAGTCTCTGCCCCTCGTCCCCTTTGGAGGCTGAGAAATGGCGCTTTGCGTTTCCCTCTCCTAAATTGGATAAAGCCACCCAAAGGGGTAGGGAGAGGTCACCCCCTTCAGCACCAGTTTATCCTCTGCTCTGCATAGTGAGGTGCTCACAGTTTTTGTGAGCTTTACGGTAAATATTTTGGACATACCTAGTGGGAAATGCCCACTTTGCCCTTCACCTTACAGATAGATTGTTGAATAGAGCAGGAAAATGACATTGCCAAAAATCAAAGGATGGTCACACCTACAGCAGTCCTGAAGGACACAGGCAATTCTCTTTTCCCACCTATTTTTCTCTTCAGGTATTTTCTCTGAGTCGGATGAAGAGGAGGAAACAAATCTTCCGAGCAGAAGCCAAACAGTGGCAAATGGAGACAAAGACCCCTCAGTCCTTGTGGAGTCAGAGAGGTGCGAGGAGCCTTTTGTTGTGAGGCCCAAAGTGAGACAGGAGGGCTCGAGGTCTCCCAGCCACTCTGGAAATGGTAAATCAAAGGGCATTCTCATCTTCTAAAGGACTTGGCTCCTTAGGTACATGGGTACAGGCCTGCAGGGCAGTACAGCTCTGTCCCTGAAAAATGAGGAAAGATCCATATAAATATGGGTACAGAGAGACCCAAGGCAGCACTTAACACTCTGCTAGCTCACTCGCCAGACACATGCTCTAAGCTGAGAGATGAAGGCCAGCATGTGTTCCTAGGGGATCTTCCCTTGTCCTGGGTGTGATTTGCCAAAGGATATCAGTGTTAAAAGAAACTTATGTTAGTTTTTAAAACTGCTTGTTTTTCTGGCTCTTTCCCCACTGCTCCTTCTAGGTGTGCCAGAAGCCCCTCTTCAGCTTGTAACCGCTGTCATCTTTGAAGTGGCACATTCTATTAAAGCCAGCTGAAATTAAAGCTCCCAATGTCTCTATTAATAGATGCACAGCCTCAAAGCTGCAGCAATTTGTGGCTAGCTGCCAGAAGCATGCAGCTGCCAGCATTCCCAGCCTCGGGCAGGATTTGTTGGAAAGCTTCAACATGAAAGTATGGCTGCTGGTCATATTAAAGACATCTTCCTAACCATGTGGCTTATGCTTTCGCAGCACGGGGCGTTTGCCTTTGGGCTGTTTGTAGTGTGATGTGGCAGTTTCGAATAGGATGATGGAATCAGATGGGTATTTGTTCTTTGCTGCTGAAAAGTTGATGCCTTTCCTGGGGTCAGTCATGTAATCATGTAGCAGCATATGTGACTGCCATCAAATTTTCACCTGTCTCATATGTTCGTGTGTATGCACATATGTACTCCTCCCCAGGGTCTAAAAGCACAGCAAGGCACAACCCAGCTGCTTCTTGCAATCCATTCCCACGTGCACTGTTACACAGGTATTTTCTTCTTTGTATGGCAGCATCTAGAAAGGAGACCAAAGGTCCCAAATCCCAGTGCTCCATCCGCCCAGATTCCTACCGGCATTTTACTCCTCGCTTTAAAGCATCAGTGCTCCCCCAGGTGAGAATTGGGGCACTGCTGGGCACCTCAGCAGGTGAAGAAAAGGCATTTGGGGCTGGAATAGGTGGCTTTTAATAATTGTTTCCATTTTATACTTCAGTTGAAAGCAATTTGTAAAATATACCCCTGGGTCTGATGTTCAAACAGAAAGCCTTAGCATTAGTCTCGCTTTTTCTTCAGTGTGCTGCTCTTTCCAGCCTAGTAAAAAGTGAGTTGTGCTGAATTCTTGTTCCGTTCAGCAAATCTGCATAAATTTTTATTCAAAAGAAATGGAAATGGCATGTGCTATAGAAAGTGAAAGACGGGTGAGCAATGAAGTGATTCATCATGCACACATATTTGCGAGCAGATGTATTGGCAGAGCAGGCTGGGGAAGGCAATCCGTCTAGTGCAGTGGAGATAGTCAAGGCATAGCTCTTGCTCTGTTAACAAACAGAGCAATAATAAAACAGAAACTTAACCTTTTCCTAAGCTCTGCTGTTCACTGCTACGTTCAGAAAAGCTACATTCAGTTTGTACCCTCTGTTTTCTCCTCTACCCACCCTGCCTCACACCTCTTGTAGCATTTTTCCCCCCAACTATCTTCCTATTCAAGCATCTATATCACTAAGTCAGCAAAACCCGCTAAACTCTTTATTAACAGCTGCTCATAGGCTGGGCGGATCCTGCCAGCCTGTTTTGTGCCCCCATGAATGTATCTGTGCCTACTTTTGCTGGTGCAGTTTCTCCTTTTTTACATATAAGTATGCAGTTTGGTGTTCATGTATTAATTCATTGAAATTGTACTGAATTGTGTGAGTATTGACATGAACTTGTGTGCAAGAAGATGTGTTTGTGCTTGCATGCATCCTTTTTCCTGTGTGGGTCTTGTGTACATCTGAATGGGACATCATTCTAAAGCTTATTTTACATCAGTGTCTATTTTTCTTGCAGAGTTTCTCATCTCCTCCAGCTGGCTATGAGGTCTTGAAGCTAAAAGCAGTGATTGGCTACAATGGCAACGGCAGAGGGAATATGGTGTGGAACCCAGAGACAGGTACACTTGGGATGGCTTTGGAGAGCTGTCTGTACACATACACTGAGCCAACTTACAACCTCCTGGCTGTTGGGCTAAGGTCTTTGCTTTAATACAGTGATTCTTTGTGTTGAGAGAATCCAGTAATTCTTTTTATTTGCTATTGGCAGCGTTAGATGACACAGAGAATGAGGCTGCTCTGCCAACAGCAGGCTTTAGTTGCCGAGTGGCTAGAGCAGGGGGAAGGCTGTTACAAAGGCCATCTCGCCTCTTTTTCAGAGCTGGAGTGATGCCCAACAGCTTTGCTCTGCTCAAGTCAGGGGAAGAGAGATTTGCCCTAACTCTCCTTTCAGCCTAATAGGAAGCATGCTGTATTGGCTATGTAGAAGACATGGTATCCCTGCTTTTAGGTATCCCTGGAAAAAAAAATGTGACTGGATTGTAATGTAAGTTATAGTGGTTGCTGTATGTGAAGCTTTGCATGGAGAAACCCCGTCTCCTCATGTTGTGCTGTCTAATAGGCTTCTTTGCCTACACCTGTGGTTGCATCGTTGTGGTTGAAGACTTGCACTCTGGGTCACAGAACCACTGGTTTGGCCATGCTGAGGAGATCTCTACACTGGCCGTCAGCCACAATGCCCAGGTAGGAGCGACTCCTGCTTCCCTGGGGCTGTGTGTTTTATGTGATCCTTTGGGCTGAAGGCATGTTAATGATGGAAATCCCATTTATCCTTCTGCCTGGTGCATGAGTATGTGGGATTATTGGAATAAAATAAAGATCTTTCAAGACTAGTTATTTGTAGTGTTTGCTCAGTGTGACACTGAAGCTTTCTGCCTTCCTCTGGGTGATTCTACCTCTTGGCATTAGGTGATATGAATCTTGTAGAATTTTTCTTTTGATAACTGTTTGTCTTTAATTTGAGTTATGAAGATTAACCAGCTAATGAACCATCCTCTAATTACTTGCTGAAGTCTCAGTGACAGCATATTGTTCCGCTAGGCTCTTGCCTCTGCTTCGGGACGGAGGAATGGAGACTCACACTGTCAGATCTGCATCTGGAACATCCAGGATGGGGTTTGCACAAAACGTCTCTTCCATCATGAGACACAAGTGCAAGCCATGGCATACTCTTGGGATGACAGATTCCTCATTACGCTAGGTCAGTATATCTCTAGCTGCAAAGTATAAGTGTGTAAGTATGCCCTAGAATAGCCAGTTCATGAAAGGAATGTGCTGTAAGAGTGTGATGCCTGCAAGATGTGTGCCAGGCTCATGTGGGTATGAAGTTTGTCCAGCAACTGTTGCTTGGTAGTCTTGGCACTGGGCAATGTTTTCACAATAAAATTGCCAGGAAGCCTAATAAACTGGGGAATGGCTAGTGCAGCATATTAAACTCCAAGTGGTCTCAAGTCCTTTTGTGAGTGTTCTTTCCAAGCAGATGTGCTCCAACAGATGTGTTCTTTCCAAGCAGATGTGCTTCCAGGGTGCTTGGGCAGCACTGGGAGGGGGAAGCATGTGCCCCATACATCTTGGCCACAAGTATGAGGCTGGGGCCACAGCAGCTCACGTTCAGTTCTTTCTCATTGCCCCAGTAAGCTTATTTCCAAGTAATAGTGCTCTTCGGGCTTATTAGTGCTTGTTAAGCTTATGTAAATAGTTTGCAGTTACTATATATAGTATTTTTAGGGAAATGCCTTCTTCTGGGCTTCTTATTGTTGCTTAGCTGGAATTGCACAGAAGTAGCCAGGCTTCAAACTGTGAACCGCCTGCCAACCAGTGATGCCAGCACAAGACGGACACTCAAGCTGTCTGTTTCGTTTAAGCAGGGGTTATTTGAAGGACAAATATGCAATTAGCAAGCTCTTGTTTTGCATGAGAGAGGGCCTGTGGAGCAGGAGACATATTCCCTCCGGGCTGGTGAGTCTGCCTTTGAAGAGAGAGAAAAAAAAAAAACCTAACAAGCTTTGCTCTAGAGAAGGGGAAAGGGGTTCTGCAGCTCTGTGCTTTCCACATAGCACAGTGGGAAAGAAGCTTTCTCCAGCTCTCTGCTCTGTGCTGCAGAGAGTAGAAAAGCTGAAAGTTTTCACTGAGATTACAGAGCCTGGGAAAGGCCAGCAAGGTGCCTGTTCCCAAGAAAACACCCCTTTCTCAGCAGCACGAGCACATTCTCCTCCAGAGCTGTCTGGGCGCTGGGAATGCTTGCTGTCATCAAGGTCCATACCACCTGCTGCCACCCAGGTGCAGTGGCTTCCATTCAGATCAGTTCCCTTCTCAGCACTGACCTCAGCAACAGCTTCATCTCTTCTTTGTTTTAAAAATGTTGCTAGCCCTGTAAGCATAATATCCCAGGAGGGATTGCATGGGTTGTTTATTGAGGGCTGTAGTAGCCACTAAAGTTGTGGAAACAGCAGCAGATCTGCTCTGCCTCCTGTGATTGCTACCACTCCAGGCATCAGCCAGTCCAAATGCTGGCTAGAGATCCTGATGTGGGACTAGATTTGCTACAACCTTCAGCATAAAGCGTCAGGTTACTTGCCTGTCCTCAAAGAAATATGGATCATGTTGTGCAGCTTTTGCTGTTGCTGAAGCTCGTTATATAGACCAACTCCATCTAACTGTGTTGTCAGTCACTTGTCTTCTGATATGAGAGAATTCACTCCTTTTCAAACCTGCTTCAAAGGTTTATGTCAGCTTCTGTCTTGAGCAGTAGTGCTGTCACAGGAGTTGAACCTTGTTCTTTCCTGGCTCCTGAGGTAGTTGTGAGGGTTCAGTGCCCTTCCTGACAAAGTACAAAAGAAAGAAGCATTTTAATGACAATGTGCCTCAGAAGTGTTTAGTTGCTGTAGCCAACTGGGTAGATCCACAGCAGATAGGAGAACCTTGGGTAGATCTCAGGACATAGAGCAAGATCATCTTGAATTGTTTCTTCAATCTTGCCCGCAAAGAGTACTTTATCATTTTTTTCAGTGCCAGCTTTTGCAGGGGCCTTTTGGAACAGTGGATAGATAAAAGGATGTCAAGTGGTTTCCCTTGCATGTCTTCCAAGAACAGTAGGTTACAGTTCAGCTATACTGATTTGCCATTGGCTTGGGAGGAGGCTAGTCCTTCTTCTCTTGTTCTGCTTCACTCCTGCAGTCTGTCCCTTGGAGCTGTAACTGCAAGTCCGTTTAGCTGCGTGTCCCTGTGCAGAGCTGGGTGAGAGCACGTTTTCCCTGGGGATTTGCTCTTGTGCACAGATGTGTTACAACCTCTCTCTGCTTCTCTCATGTCTTCAGAGAGCTCTTTGAATGCTTAACTTCGAAGGAAAATAATAATACCTATGTATAGTAATACCTGCTACAGCTCCCTCCAATCCCTGCTGAGACCTCCAACTCCTCACTCCAACCTCTCCAATACAACATTGATTAAGGCATTGGTTTAGATACTGTGATTTGAGACTACCACATCTGCTTGTTCTACCCTGTGGTACTCTGTACTGTGGTACCTGGCACATGCCAGCTGTGCTTACTGTAGGTCTTGCTCTGGAAATAGGGCTGTCCTATCAGCTGCTGTGCTGTTACAATCACGGATGACAAAGTTGAGTACCCGACCTAGCAGCAGGTAATTTTTTGGAAATGACGTGCCAGGGCAGAGCCACTACCTTTTTTGGGGCCAATCCTCTTTAATATCTTTATTGATCTGGATGAGCGGGTTGATTCCACCCTCAGCAAGATGCCTCAGCTTGTGACAGTGCTCATAGCCACCATCTCTGAACAACTGCATGATGCAATGACAAACTTGATGCATATGTGTATAATGAATATTGCAATGAACACTACAGCTGCACAATTTCTTCCTACTGTCTTTCCTGTTCTATGTAGGTGACTACAGTGATCAAACCATTGCTCTGTGGAATACGTACACTTACGAACTCATATCATCAACTCACATCTCAGAGCCAGTCCATGATGTGGCTTTTAATCCTCTTTCACATGGAGAACTGGCCTGTGTGGGGAGGGGAGCAGTGACATTTTGGCTGTTGGAGCCGCGGGGAACTGACGTCAACCTCAAGGTAAATCTCATTTTTTTAAATATTCATGTTCAGCATCTCTGATTTCCTTTTTCAGCCCCCTTGGTGAGCGAGATGGAAGCTCTGCCACCACAAGGCTTTGTGAGAGTTGGTTTCTCTTAGTAAAATGATGCTGACTGACTGTGACTGGCTCTTGATTGCATTTGATGCAATAACTAAATTGCGTGTGGGAGGGTGATTCTTTTTTCCTGTAGCTAAAACACAGCTTTCTCTTTGACTCTTTTATTTTATGTGGCTTTGGCAGGTTCATCAGGCCCCTGTCCCTGATGCGTTAGGAGTGGTGGAACTGACCTCACTGTGCTACGGTGCCAACCCTCTTCTTTACAGTGGGACCAATACAGGCCAGATCTGCGTGTGGGACACAGAGACTAATCACTGCTTCATGACATGGGAGGCTGATGAAGGCGAGATCGGTGAGTGCAGATGCCCCAGGCATCCGTCAGGATTGTATTAAGTTTCACAGAAACTCATGGGAAAAGATCATCTGTGAGCATGCAGGCTTTAGACTTCAGCTGTGTCCCTGTCTTTGGAAAACTTTGTTGCTCTGTCAGATGCAAGAGTAGGTGGCAGTGAATCTGTGACCCAGGTTTCCTTGTCAGAGCTGAGTTCAACCCTAATCTATAAAGAAAATCTATACAGACATATGAAAACATAAAGGCATATATAGACATAAAGGCATATATAGACATAAATCTTTAAAGACACTGGGTATTGGGTGCAGTTCCCAGCTGTGGTGGAACCACACTGCCCACCTCAAGTGAATCAGTGGCCGAGCTGGCAGCAGCAGACGCCAGGCGATGGCCGTGAGCCGCGTGGTTATTCCTGGGTGCTCTTTGTTCCCTCGTGTCCCCCAGGTGTGCTGGTGTGCCGGCACAACAGGCTGGCCAGCGGCAGCAACACGAAACGCATCCGTCTGTGGGCGGTGGCGGCCGTGGAGGAGCTGAGACTAAAAGGTTCTGGCGCCAGGTAGGAGCCTCGTGGCCGCAGGGTCTTTGCTGTGCTGCTCACACACACCTCGCTGCGCTCCCGAGGGAGGTTCTTCCCCTTGGCTGGCTGCCCCCTGATTCTGACCAAGAGGTGGCTTTTCACACTCTGATGTCAGCTCTGAATGCAACCATGCTTTGTGTCTTACCTTTCATTCTTTGCTTTTCCTCTCCTTCCCATGACTACTGATTCATTTGGTCTGGATCTTTTTATGAATTTTGACAGAAAGAGCTGGACCCTCTTGGTCCCAGGAATGGAGTTTACTATTTCTGGTACTTAGCAATATGTAGGAACTTCTTTTAAGAGAATCAATTAAAACATAGGGCTTTTGTTTTCTCTCTTGTAATGTTGCATCCCTTGTTCTCTTTCTCTTTCCTATAAAATATAGTTTCTGTGCAAGTGTAACAGTAGCAACTGTTCTCTGTACAGAGGTCCCTCACTGAATTATCTATCTGCAAACACATCACAGGAGGTAACAGAAAACTGCTAGGGCCAGTCTTTAAAGAGGGCAGAGTGACTGTCTGTTCCAACAGCTGAGCCAGCCTTTCTTGGACCCTCCTTTCCTCCAGGTCTAGCTCCGTCCTGCTAGAACATGAGATGACCCTCGATGGGACAATAGTCAGCGCAGCCTTTGATGACTCTCTGGAAATGGGAATTGTGGGCACCACCACAGGAACACTGTGGTACATCAACTGGGCAGAGAGCACGAGCATCCGGCTGATCAGCGGACACAAGAACAAGGTTAGATGGTCTGTGAAGGAGGAGCTTTGTCCTGCAAAGGAGCATACGTTTTGTGTGCTCCCTGTGCTCAAAGGCCATGCTCAAAGCATGCATGTGCCGCAGAAATGTTTACTGGACTGGCCACGAGAAGGGATTCATGGAGCTGCAGGGCTTGCTAATGTGGACAGGGCACTGAAAGAAGCCTCCTTGTGCTCCTCCTTGAGATAACTGAGGAGTCAGACATGAAGAAATCTGGGCTCATCCACTTTAGCCTTAGTTGTTTAACTGCCTTAGCCTGTTAATAACTGTGTCTTTCTGTCCGAGTGATGTAAAATGATAGTTTAGTGTGTACTGACTAATGGATGCATCCTGGAAGCAATCTTGCTTATTAGCTAGACATCTGTATTAGATAGAGTCTTTGCCTAAAACATAAGCTGGTTGAAGAGTGACCATTTCGAATGCTGCTGTTGCTTTGGACAATCTTTAGGCTCCACAAGAAAGTTTTTAAATGCTAGAAGAGAGAATATTTAGCTTAAACCCATGTCACAGAGCACCTGATCCTACCTTTGTGGTTTGGTTTACCTATTTCCTTTACAAATCCAATTATAAGTCCCAAATTTAAGCAAAAAAGAAAACAATTCACCTTTCTTAATGTCTATGACTTGTCTGTTGTTTCCTCTGATAAGAGTCCTGAGGCATGAGAGGGGCAGAGGACAGACGAGCTCTAAACTGTGGCATTTGTAAGGGCCCTTTCTTCCATCTCTGACACTACTGCAGGTGAACGAAGTGTCCTTCAGTCCTGATGAGACTCACTGTGCCACTTGTGGTGAAGACGGCAGCGTGAGGATTTGGTCGCTGGACAGCATGGAGCTGGTGGTACAGTTTCAAGTGCTGAACCAGGTAATCCTTGGTGCATTGGTCTTTTTGTCTAGAAAGCAGGTGCTATCCACTGTTGGGATTACAAGGGCTTCTGCATCCTCACAGGTTAGGTTGAAGTTGTAAGGAATACTTGCAGGTGGAGCTGTGCTGTGATGGGCACAGCTCTGCTGTCTTGTGTCCTCAGGTCTCTACTCTTACTCCTTTGCAGAGCTGCCAGTGTCTGGCCTGGAAGCCTCAGCCCATTGGCACCGGGCTTGCTGAGAGCCAGCACGTGGTAGCAGGGTACAGCGATGGCACCATCCGTGTGTTCAGCATTTCCCGGACAGAGATGGAGCTGAAAATGCAGCCGCATGCTGTTGCGCTGACAGCAGTTGCCTACTCCACGGACGGTGAGGTTGCACTCCGCTGTCGCAACAGCAAGGAGGCTTCGGCTGTGCTGCGGTCACCTGGGCACAGGCCAGGCTTCTAGCAGCTCTGTGGACTGGCGGCCTGCCCAAAAACCTGGGGCTGGGGAGAGCTGGAGAGCTCATATCAATGACCTGCAGTAGATCCTCAGCTGAATGTTTGGTAGATGGGAGATGGCAGGTGCATTGGCCATGGTACAGCTAAGGGGTTTGAATACAGCATACATTCCTTTGTGTCCTCCTACTGATAACCTACATCAGCTCTTCTTCAGATGAGGTGTTTGGATGGGTGTCTCTGAGACAGCTTATCTCACTCAGTTGCTGAACCAGCTGTTTCCAGCTTTTCACAGTTGTTTGGGAACACTGTGGAATGATCTTGGATCTTTTTCTACGGGGTTTTTCATCTCCCTCAAGAAGTGACCCATTTTGTCTTCTTCTCCGATCACAGGAGAAATTGTTTTATCGGGGGGCAAGGATGGACTCGTGGCTGTCAGCAACTCTCGCACGGGAATGACCGTTCGCATCCTCGCTGACCACAAAGGCTCCCCCATCACTGTCATACAGTGCACGAGGAAGCAGGTGAGACTTCACCCTCTCTGCCCTGCTGTTCTGCTGCAGCAAATCTCCTGTATGTCACCGCACAGCCACAGGAAGGAGCTGCAACATGGCAGGGCTGGTCACTGAGCAAGCTTTGTTGTCCCCCTCTTCGTCGTTGGGTCCCCAGCACCTCCAATAACTTTTGTTGGGTTGCTCTAGGGTTATTTTCAGTGGAGCAAAGTTGCGTTGCAGGTGTAATTCTCAGCAAGTCTGTGCCTCGTAACTGTTGCAGACACTGCACACAGATATGACATGTGCTGGTACATGGATGCTGGAGCACTTGCCCCACAGGCTCTGCCACAGGCACTGCTTTGGAGCAGCCTGGGATGTGAGGATTCAAAGTGGGCAAATAGCCTGCCCTTGAGAAAGGCCTTGCCAAGGTCTGTGTGCTGCTGTCAGCAGCAGCCTTGCCTCGTGTGTGGAACTGTGTGTGTGGTCCCTGCTGTGTAGCTAGGAATCCAGGACTGTACAACAGCATGATGTTTTTAGCATTTCCTTTGACTTTCTCTTCATAGAGTCTCTCTTTTACTTTGCACGATTTTTGAGACAAGAATAATTTTGCCTAAGTTTTAAGGCTTTAAAAACATCCATGTTTGCAAGGCTGCTTTCCCTGGTAATCCTAGGCTTGCTTCATCCTCCTCAGTTTTAGATGAAGGACATTCTTAGGGCAAACACAATAACTTCAAGCACTGCGCTAGGAGGACATGCAGATGCAGAGAGTGTCCTAGAGGAGAGATCCAGATCGTTCGGGCCCAGCACTTGCTCCTCCTCCAGCAGCCTCTTCTGGCAGAGGGTGTCAGCCCAGATCACAGTGCTGGTTTTGGTACCAGCAGCTGCCTTGTCTTGCTGTGCAAGGACATCCCCATGGGACAAGGCAATTGCCTAGCCTATTTCATTGAGTCTAACGAGAGACTTTAAGGACTGTCAGGTGAGAGAATCTAGTAGATTAATCCTCCCTAACTCTAGATTAGATAATCTCTACTATGTAAGGTCTGCATTCTCGTATTTTTTTCCTATGCCAGTCTGTTCTTGTTGGCAGCTTTCTTTTAAAGAGTTCGTATTGCAGGAGTGGTAATGTCGCTTTTTTCCTCTGTAGTACTATGATTTTGGGGTGGAAGGCAGTGAACTGTGGCTGGCCACAAGCTCAGACCGCCGGGTCAGTGTCTGGGCCTCCGACTGGCTGAAGGATAAATGTGAGCTCCTGGACTGGCTCAGCTTCCCTGCTCCTGCAGTCCCCGAGGTGAGGAGACACTCTGGCTTGTGTGCACTCACATCACGAGCCCTGTGCAATCCCTTGGCCCCTTTAGCCCCTCTTCCTATCTGTGAGTGGGATAAAAGGCCCCCATCAAAACACATAGTAAATTGTCTGTTCAACCTACTGCATCTTAAACTTATCTTCCAAATCTGAAGGGGGGAGGTTTCAAGGTTGTGGTTTCATACTGCTTTAGTGACCACAGCTGCCTGGATGCAAGTGAAATACCCAGGTGAGTGTTGCCGTGGGAGAAGAAGGCCACACAAGTTGGGTGTTTTGTGTTTGGATGGCCAGCTGCCAACATGCAGGTCACACCAGTGCTGCTGATCCCTTTCAGGATGAAAAATTCTCCTTGGGGCCCTATCAAGGAGAGCGGAGGCTGTTACAGCTGAGCAGGGCAGGTATAAAGAGCAAACATGCTTAGGAAAGTGAACTTCATTAGTTCTGCTGCTCACGGGAAAGTTGCTAATATGCCTTCTAGGGCATAGATTTGCAGTGTGAATTGTGGCAATGCCTTTGTAAGCACGAGGAGTCAAGAACTGCATTTGCAAAGAGCTGATACACCTGTTCTGTGCAAAGCAGAGCACGAGCACAGAAGAGTGACCTAATTATGAGCATGCTGCTAACTTCAGCACCCCCAAACAGCATGAATATTCTGAGCCAGGAGCCCGGTGAATTGAGAAGGTTAATAGAGCCACATATGCCTATGTTATCTCTAAGGGCCTGTGATGGTTTGCAGGCCACTTCAGCTCCAAACTATGTGTGAGATTTGGGATGGTAGGACAACAGTTAGGAAGTGGAGGAGGGTCTGTGCTGCATAGGACATGAAGACAGCCTCAGCTACATGTGATTTTTTCATGTAAAAGGATGCTGGGTCTTTACGGAGGAAGCAGCAGCAGCACCTCTGCCTGCTGCTTCCTGGGCCCTAGCACTGCCAAGGCCAATACAGGAACTGGGGTCTGTTTGCTCCCAGAACACCTTTCTGGGAAGGATTGATCGTATGTTCAGTTCTGTAGATCTTCTGTGCCCTGTTTGCTTATGCTCATGCCCATCCACAACCCATTCCCACC